TTATTTTGCGGCACACATAAAAATGTCAAGTGTTGTGTTACGATCTGGTTCTGGCGCCTGCCCTCCCGGCAGACTTGTAAGTAACCATTCCCTAGTCAGCGAAAAAAAATACTCCTCGATGGTATCCAAAGCACAATCGGTCAATAACTGTTTCAATTCTTCCAATACATCCATACTTGCAATGGGTTCTTGTGAAATTATTCTCTAATCAAGCACAAACACATATCATTACCAAGCACTGCCACTGCCACAGCCACTGTAGTCTGGAGTGGAGTGTGGATTCTTGATCACGTGAAGTTGGTGTTCCCTGTCAAATTTGGCTACTTTGTGGACCAGCCCACTAACTTCTCAAGATTCTCAAACTGCGACGTAGGCAAGACCTCATAAAATATATGTTAAACATATGCCAGATATACCCTATTGAAAGTGAATGGGTTTAATACGTCATTCTGGCGAATTTTCCTCTCGTTAAAATCTTTCAGGTCGACCTCTTCTAAGGGACAAAAATGAATTGAAATTCTCTGCGTGCGCATGCAGAAACTGCGTGCAACTTTCTAAAAATGCGAAGGAACTTCTCAAAATGCATGGCAACAGTCGATAAACTTTCTAAAAATCATGCCTAGATACAGGACGCGGCGCAGCCTCTTACTACTCTCCTGGGTACTAGGTTCAATGAAGGAGAATTTGGTTTTTCATCGGAGAAGATATAAAAATGTTTCGCAAAGGCAAAACGGAGTAAAATGTAGCAAATACGGCGATTGTGTAGAAATAAATACCTAAAATACATAATAAAAAGATGTATGCTTATCTTGAATCTTAAATCTGAGCTCATTCATTACTTTTAGCATTTTATTTAGAATAATCAAACTGGGAAAATCTGACATTCTAAATTGAGAATGTTGAGAATGTCTCGATCCGCCCCTGCTACAAAATAATAAAACGTTTTAGCGAAATGCAAAAATGGCTGCAAGAAATAATTCTGAAATGTATAGAGTCCCGATTTATTTCATTGACGTTATATAAAAGAATGCGGTAGGCGATCAGGAACCAAAACAGCAGTCAGCTGTTTTCAAATGCTGTTCTGATTACGCAACTCGAAAAACTTGGCATGGAAAAAAATAGCAATGGTTTCTACTTTTTACGAAGCGAATTATTCACTGCAAATTTGCGGAGAATTTTCTAATCTCTACTTCCACGGTTTAATTTGCGGGATGAAGTCTAAAAATCAGAACCATTAAGTAAAATTCTTAAAAAAATTGGACAAGATTGGATGAACAATCGACCCTCCATACCCCCACTCCATGAGGCTATGTTTCACATTGCTCAAAAGTATCCGTTTTCGGTGTTCACACTGCGTTTTGTGATTTTAAAAGTCTCATGGAGTGGGGGTATGGAGGGTCGATTGTTCATCCAATCTTGTCCAATTTCTGTTTTGTGTTTTCAAAGTGCGTTTTGAAAAGTCTCCGTTTTCGCAGCGGAGCAGTGTGAACGCATGGTGAAAACGGATACTTTTTTGTCCGTTTTTTTTTCATTCGAATCCTGAGAAATGTGAACGGGGTTTGCGGACAACGACCCGATGTGATTTGGGAGGAGGACGACCAAGACACATACAGATGACGGTAAGACTTTGTATCCCTAAGATTTGAGGATGGGATTGTGCGGTGGTGGAGTTTGTTTCAAAAAATTTTTTTGCTTGTGACTTATTTTACGGAGGCTTATTCAAAAGTGAGTGGGTTTTTCGAGACCTCCGCATCCCCCTTCTATGGACCTGGCCCGGAGAAAACAAAGCTTTTCTTTGCTCGTAATTGCTTTTGTTTTTATTTGAATTACTCAGCAATACATAAATTAACATAATCAACTCTCTTTTTCTAGGAATTTTTTTGTAGTGGAACGGAAATGCGTCAATTTCTGCAATTTCTCCTTTGCAAATACCAATACTTTGCTTGGTCCCAGAAACCCTTTGCAATTCCAATTTTAGTGATAAGTTGGAAATACTCAGTAGCGTAGTGAAGGTGAGGCAAGAGGAGGCAAAAAATTGTCTTTGGAAAAAGGCATTTTCTGGCCACCCAAAGGCTGGGACATTTTCTCTCCCCCAATTCGCCTTCGCGCCATCTCCAATCTTACCACCCTGACTACGCTACTGAAAATACGAACTAGTCTCCGTTCCAGAAAACAGCAACTCGCGCACTTTAAAATAATACTTAGTTGCTTGACTTATTTTGGTACTCAATGTTTCTTAAAGGTTTCTTAAATGCCAACTGATAAAGAGCTTCTTTCGAAAAACGCAAAAAACGTTCAAGTGTTTTGAAACAGAATTCCTAATCAGTCGCAAGAGGTTCCTCCCTTTTTTTCTTGTTAATTAATCTCACCCTTAAAAGAAGGGATTTCAAAAAATGTTCCAATGTTGTAGATGATTAGCGCTATCGCTCCTTTTTTATCCAAAGGCTCAGGTTTCTTGCAGACCTTTCTTATAAAAATTGAGTGTGAATCAACCTTTTCGTGTTATTTATTTTTGTTTATATTAAAACGGTCCGAATTTTTTCTATAAATTTGTTTCGACTTGTCAAACTTTTTAAGAAATCGAGGAGAATTGAATTTTGAGACAGTAATTAGAAATATAATGAATCGATGAAATTTCTTATCTAAACAGTGTATTGTCAGAGGTTAGTTAAAAAATTTTTACTGAATGACCTCCCCTCAACCGAACCAGATCAGACTGGTATTCTTGTTTGATGCCCTGTGGACATGTGACCTGTAGCTGTGTGGTCCAAAAAAAATTTGCTGTAGTGCCTTGTCGTACCAATGCACTAGACGTAAGTGTGGTATGTGACAGGGAGATAAGGTACATGTATATTATTTGCCTTCAAGAGAAAGGAGGACCAGTTTAGCTACCTGCAAAGCAGTTGAGATGAAATCATAAACAATAGCACAACACGTGAACTCTTGACAAGTAAACAAGTTTGATGAAACATGGAAACGGAAAGAAATAATGAGAACGACTGTTTGAGCCCAAAGGAACAGAAGGTTGCTGTTAACTTTATTTGGAGTCAACCAGATTTTTCCCCAGAAGCAACAGCTGTCGACCTTATTGTAGGCCACGCTGTTGGTGCTAACAATGATATTTTTGAAATGTACATGGAGGGGACAGAATTGAAGGAAAATACGCCAATTTCAGAATATAGACTTGAAAAAATGACAGATTCTTCAAACTGTACCTCATTTGATATCAAAATTAATTTACCAAAGAACTCATACCAATTTCTGTTTCGAATTGAGGATGTCAACAACTTAATTTCTTTGGCAGTCAGTGAAAGTTACAAACAAATACAACTTGTCAGTGGGAGGACAGTAAATTACTTGGAAGTAGATGATAACAATTGCAGCACAAAGGAAGACAAAGATGGTATGATTTTCAAGCTTGAATTTTTTTATGCTTACTTCATTTGGCTACACAAAGCAAAGTTTGGATTAGGTATATTAAAGGTTTTAGAAATTGTAATAAGAGCCTGTTCAAAAGTGAACAGTTTTTGCTTCCCTCATTTACACTGATTGGTAAACCCGTATATCATCTGCTCCATCAAATCTCTGGATTTTGAAAAGGGTTATGGCAGGGTATTTTAGCATTCAAATGGGGGTCAATTAACCTTCACCCCCAAGTATGCAGAGCATTGCAATGGTGTGCAGAAGAGACACAGTAAGAGGATGCACCTTAATGTTAGATACATTCAGTTGTAAGTGAGGAATATCAATGGTGCTGGTGTAACTGGAAATTTAGCAATTTCTGCACATCCTCACCAGAGATGTGGGGCTGTTTCCACACTCAAGAACTTTTCAACATCAGCCACACTGAATGCCCTCTTCAGGCAAACAATGAAATCAAAGCAACTTTTAGGTGTGGTACTAAAGCTTTTTTGCCTTATTGGCCTCCCTCGCTGTCTTTGACCATTGAACTGTCAAGTTCTCTGCTCTGCTGATACTATTTTGTGCCTGTTAGGGACCATGTCGACAGGCTATTTGGGGCTTATGAAACTAGCTATGGGATATTATAGCCACTTTTGTGTTTAAAAAACTCTTAGGGCTTGGCTGGTTGGACTCTATGTATCGCCAGTGGAAACAGCTCTTATTATTGAATAAAGGAATGATCAAAATGCCACACCCTATGCGTCCTAATAGATTTATGTTTTCAAACTTTATACCAGCCTTGCAAAATGCCGCAGAATAACAATGTAGCTTTGCAACCCTTTTTAAGGTCTCTCCTGTATGCTATTAGAATTCCACGGAGAGTATCTTGAAAGATAAACTACGGTTGAACGAACATAACAAAACAACTTATACGATCAGGATATAATACTAGGCCACATTACGTAATCAGCGTAAGAGTAGTAAAGCGTGTTCACAGCATGACTAAGCAAGGCTTAACTTAAAGTGTCAATCAATGATACTATGAGTCAAAACGTGATAATAGTAAATGTCTTGTCATATGCCCCTATGACCTCCTGGTCTGCACCCAGCTGATTGTACCCAAGCCCCACTGCCCCACCCAGCTTTTCCATTATTTCAATAAAAATTTAAAAAAGGTCATAGCTGTATGTTATTTTGTTAAAAGATGCTTCAATCAGTACAAATTTTTCTTCATTTGCAGAATTTATGGATGTCAATGAATCAGCCCCATTGGTTGAAGGCGAGAGAAGAAAGAATGGAAAAAGGGAAAAAGGAACAAGGTGTGGATGCACACCAGGCAATTGTTCTGTTCTGTAATTTCCTATTTTTCAAGTGAATAGTTGAAGAAACAACACCTATTTAATGTTTACAATGAAGTGCAATGATTGGTAGATGGAAGGTAAAATGGATATGCACTCACCCCAAAAAACTGATAACTGAAAAACCTTTTTACATTGCTCTCATTATCAGGGTAGCTCTAAGGTATTTTGCTCCAAGCCTGACTTCACTACCCCTGACTAAAAGTAATGGGGTCTGGGGCTCCGGTTTACATCTCACCAGTACAATAGTAATAGTTTGAGAGCTATAGGAACAAAAGGGATTGCACAAGCCCATTGAAAGGTTTTTAGAGTTGCACAAGCCCCTTGAGAAAAGTGTAGCTACAGCCTGATAACCAATGTCTTATTTCAGAACAGGTCTTACTCTGTAGCTCTTTCATGATGAATTACATGAACTGTAAGGCAGGAGGGCAAAGCACAGAAAAAAGTGCAATACTTACAGAACCTGAAACTAGTGCACTGCAGGGATGCCAGAAAGGCTCAAAGGGTTGTAAACCTAGAAGTTCAAGAAATATTCAGCTGTTTCCTCATGCTTTGCTGAGTTTTTCTGAACTAGTTATAGGATAATTTATTTATTAAGTCAATTTAGAATTGATTTGTTCTGAGATGCTGTTTGAAACTTCCAAAAAAGGAATGTGGTTGAATTAGATATCATGATCATTCTTTGTGTTGGATTTAGAAATTAGTTTTTGATTTTGTTGTTCACCTTTTAGTAATTTGAAGGTCGTTTTTCTCTGATCTTGCAAAATCTTCTTTGATGCTGGGGACATTTTAAGATAAAATCTTGGTTTGATACAACATTTGCCATTAAGCATCGTTTTTACTTTATGTTTTATGTACAATGTATGTACAATGAGAACTTTATGTATGTTTTATATTTCACCACTCATGATTCATGTTGAAAAAGCTTATCATGTTGATGATACTCTTTGTAGAAGGCTTTTCTTGGCCCTTATCTCAGGGTCACCATGACCGTTCATATGCTCTTTGTTTATAAGAACCAGTAAATTGAAGTTCATGCTGGCTGTTCTTAAAGGCATTGAGTCATGATATAATGGATTGGGTATACCCTAAGTGCAAAATCCGCTGAGTCATGATTTTCATGACTGCGATGCTATTGGTTGACCTGGAACTGGTCACATGAACTCACCTCGTACTGATTGACAAAACAATTTCCATCAATAGCAGGTTGTCAACAGCGGATGCAAATATCACATGAAATAGCAACCAAATGACCCCCTATAGAGAAGGCCTATTTACCATGACTCAATGCCTTTAATTTCTCCAGATATTTAAGG